AAAAAAATCTTATTGTATTTTTTTTAATCATGGATAATATTTGTAAAACAATAATAAAATTTATTGCCGATTTAAATACGATACAAAAAGCGGAGAAAGGAAACGATGTAAAAACGATGTAAAACACTAAATCACCGTTTAAAAACTACATGAAAACTAAATGAATATTTTTTCTGTCATTTTCTAATCATCTATAATTTAGCCGAAAATCTGTAATTTAACACAAACGCAATTTACTATTCTTCAGTCATTAATTTACGTACATTTATTCTAAGATTATGGCAAATATCTGTCAAATATTGTTGTATTTTTAGTGTATTTGAAAAGTAAAACTGTGTCTTTGTGGTCACACATCGTAAAGAATTTAATTACTGTTTATAAGAATACAGATTTATAATGTTTAAGTTTTTTATGGTTTTTTTTTTACACAAATTCAGATGTAAATCAATGCTTTTTTCTGTAATTTTACTACATCTTGCTTCTAATTTGACTAAAAATCTGTAATATAAAGTTTGATTTTATACATTTTTCATCAAAAAAAATGTAGAAAGAAAAAGTCAAATGTAAAAAAAAAAAAAATTCTGTATATAAAAATAATTGCTGGTTTCTAACGTGGACATCTTTTACAGCTTTGATCTGTTTTTAATTGGCCAACATAGAAATTACACTTCTCCTGTAGTTTTTCTGGGAAACACAGAAAAATCTCTAATTTAATGGTTACAAAAACGTTATTTTACCATTTTTCAGTTTTTAATGTAAACGTTTGTTTGATAATGATGGAAAGTATCTGTAAAATAGTGATTTGTTTTTGTAAATTTGAATAGAAAAGTGCAACTTTACAGTCAACAATGATAAAAGAACAAATTGAATTGCTATTTTTATTCCTATTTGCAATTTTTCAATCCTTAAAATACACATGTATATGTATTTTTTAAATTAAGGCCAAATATTCTAAAAGTAAAAAGTCTAATTTTACTATCAAACGTTGTCAAAGAACTAATTGACAAAAATGCAGATGTTTGATGTGGAAGTTATTTATGAACGTGTACATTTAACTTTTTTCTGTGATTGTTTTTCGCTCTAATCTGTCGTGTACCAGTTAGTTGTCATGATTCCAGTTAAAGCTTGTTAAAGTTTGTATTTCTACGCTGTGTTGCCTCTTTGGGACGTTTTTTCTAAACCTCTGTCTCTGTGTCGTCCTTGTCCAAGGTGATGACCATAGGCTCGGGGAAGGTTTTTGCCACCACAGGCTACGGTATCGCCCTGCACAAAAACTCACGCTGGAAACGTCCTCTTGACCTGGCGCTGCTGCAGCTGGTGGGAGATGGTGAGAAATAATCAGGACGATGGAGGGGCAACGGGAAGGTTAAAGGGTGGATGGAGGGATGGATGNGATGTGAAGATCAGGATACGGTCCAGAACCCAAAACTTTACCTGGACAGCACCAGCTGGCTGGTTTGGTTGATCTGACACACAGCTCGGCGCTTTAAGGAGCGTGTCTTTCTTGTTAAACCTCCCCTGCAGCGTTTTTAATGTGACCTCTGCGTCGTATTCCTGTTTGACCTCCGGTACCTCCAGACGGACTCTCTGGGTCGCTGCAGGAGCTCCAGTCGGAGCCATAAAGGAACATTTGTCACGTAAACGACGGAGCGCGACTCAAACGTTTAATAATTTAAACCATCAGCGGCCGCCTTAAAGTGATGCTGAAGAATTTCCTGCGATGACTTCTGGCCCGTCTGTAATCGGCCCGACGTCCAGCAGCAGTTCCAGAGTTTAGATCGCTTTAAATAACCGGACCAGAACCTGACAGACGTTAGAACATTACCCGAGTCGTTCCCTCCTGACCTTGGAGGCAGCAGCTGACGGTCTGGAGGAACATATGTGGTCCTTCTGACGGATGTCAGGGTTCCACCTCAACGTAAAGTCCTGCAGCTCCAGGAACCAGAACATGAAGGAGGACAGAACCCAGAGCGACACGTTCAGAACCACAGAAACCAGAAATGAAGGAACAGTTGATGTTTTAAATCCAGACTCGTCTCTGCTGCGCTTCAGCAGCTTCTGCAAACTCAGACGGTTTCGTCTCATTTCTGTTGTTTTGTTTCTTGTTTTTCTAAATTTTTTTGTCTAATTTTTCTTCTTTTGTGTCTTTTCAGGACAGTTTTGTTTCTTTGTGATCATTTTGTGTCACAGTTTTGTTGTTTTTTTGTCCTAATTGTGTGTAATTGTTTTGTGTCTCTTTGGAACTGTTTTTATGTTGTGATGTGACTTTCCTGTTTTTTCTCATTTTGCCGTTTTATATCTGCTATTTGGTGTTTTTTGTTTCCTTTCTGTCTCATTCTATTATTTTTTTGTCTCGTTTTTCTTGTCGTGTCTCTTTTGGTTGTTTCATGTTTCGTCTCTTCCTGGTCGTTCTGTGTCTCGTGTTTTTCTTTGTTTTTGTCCTAATCGTGATGTTTCGTGTCTCTGGAACCGTTTTGTCATTTAGTGAAGCTTTTTAGTCATTTTGTGACTTTTTTTTTATCTCCATTTGTTTCTCGCGTTTCTCATTTTGCTTCTTTTTTTGTCTAATTTTTCATTTTGCGTTTTTATTTAGACGATTTTATTTTTTTCTTTCTGTTATTTTTTTGTCTTGTTTTGTCGTCGTCGTGTGTTTTCTGTCTCATTTCTTTTGTCTTTGGGACAGTTTTGTCATTTTGTTTTCTCACTTTTTCTCATGTTGTGTTTTGTTGTTTTCGTTTTGTGTGTTGTTATTTCTCATATTTGTCATTTTGCGTTTCTTTGACACACTTTTGTCGTCTTTCTGTTGTTTTTGTCATCGTGTGGCTCGTCGTTATATTTCAGCTCATTTCTTGGGATGTTTTTTTTCCTATTCTGTGTCATTTTTTTCCTCTTGTACCGTTTCGTATCTCTTATTTGTCATTTTGCATTTCGTTTTGTCTCCTTTCTGGTTTTTTTGGCGTCTCGTTTGTAATTTTTTTCTTGTTTTGTGGTCGTCTCATACTTTCTGTTTCTTTGGGACACTTTTCTCATTTTGTGTTTCGTTTGATTCTTTTTCTGTTTTTTTTACTTTCTGGCTGATTAATGGAGCCATTTTGGTGATTTGAGAATAAAAACCTCCTCCAGTGAGTTCTGGGGTTCAGAGGGTTAAAGTCAAGCCTCAGTTATTGATTAGGGATTGATCGATTCTGCACATGTATCCTCAGTTATTGATTAGTGATCGATCGATCCTCCATTGCAGGTGTTTGCTGTTTGCTCTGCTGTCCGTGCTTCGCTGTGACTGTCGTGCTGAGTTGTCTTTCCTGTTTTTCGTGAGCCGAGCTTCGTTCCTTTCAGCTCCTCGTCACCCTTCACGCTCCCCTGCTCAGATCCTCTCACCTTTCCCGTCTCCTCCCGCCCACGCCGAGCAGCCGGCGTCTCCCCCTCTGCACTCCCCTTCACCACAATCTCTATCAGCCGTCATGTGCTGGATAATCCCGGTTTGCTTCATCCTAAGCCTCTGTCATCACCCCTCCTCTTATAACTCAACACTAGAACGAGGAACTTCTCCCTTTTCTCTCCCCTCCTGCTCTTTATCTTCTCCTTCCTCGTCGCTCCTCAGCTGCCCTCTCCTGTTTCCGTCTCCCTTTCTTCCTCCCTCGTCGGCCCATTCTTCCTCCTCCTCGGCGTGTCTGTATTTAAACTTTATAATCCTCATCACTCTCCGGCTCTATCCACGTCTTCTCCCCCCTGAAGTGTGTAAATCTTTCCCCCTCTTCCTCTGCTCCTGTCACCGCTGCCGGATAAATCCTCCCCTCCGCCACCTCCAGCCTCCTCTTCCTCCTCTTCCTCCTCTTCCTCACACACATCTCCCCCTCATCTTATTTTATTCTCCTTGTGTTTCCGCTCCCTGCTTCCCCATTCCACCCGTCCTCTCTCTGCTTTCCTTGTCATGATTTAACTTTTTATGCCCCTCCATCGCTCTGTGTGCTGCCTGCCGTACGTTTCTGCTTCCCAGGTGCAGAGACACACCTTTATAGGAGCTGCTGCTGCCTCGGCTCCCTCCATTAAATGATGAATGAATTCTCCCTTGATCCCTTTGCAGGAAACTGGATGCTTTTATTTATGATGCTGCAGTACTGAACTATATGGCCAGGAAGGACGAAGGTTGTAAGGTGAGGACGAAGCCGCCGAAGCTGTGCTTCTGTCCGCATGCCAGAACAAAGAAAACTAAAATCCTGTGAAAACGCTGAACACGTTAAAAACACATTAAAAACAGCAGCAGTTTGTTCAGACGGGATCCAGGAAACTAAGGAAAAAGTCAAACTCAATCTGAATCTGATCTAAAATCTAAACGAGTCACTTTATTATCCAGTCATACTGGGGCACAATTTTTAAAAAGATAAATAAAAATAAATCTGTAAAGTAAAGAAATTAAATAAAACAGAAGGTGGAACACAGTCATGTTCAAAAACTGTAAATAACAACAACAACAAACAAACAAATAAACCTGGTAAACGAGCAGCAGATATCAGTGACATGGTGTGTTTAGTGTTTTTATTAGCACACGCTGTAGAAAACTATAAACTACTGTTTATGAGGAAACAGATTTTAGATGTTGACCTTATTTACACATTTTTTGAAAACAATTAAAATGCAATTTAAGAATTTTTCCATAATTTTACAAAATATTACTTGTAATTTAACTAAAAATCTGTAATATTAAAATTGATTTTAATCATTATAAAAAAATCTTATTGTATTTTTTTTAATCGTGGAAAATATTTGCAAAAAAATAATAAAATGTATTGCCGATTTAAATACGATACAAAAAGCGGAGAAAG